ATAAGTTGTTCTATCAGTATTATAAGACTTGTTGTTCTATCTGTGTTATAACTGTGTTATAAGTTGTTCTATCCATGTCACAGGAAGTTGATCCATCACAGAAAGGAAACGCTCGCTCGGCGAAGTTCCCCGTCCGTTGGACACAAACAAGGCCTCCCGTCATCCAGCAGTGAAATATCTCTCAGCCGCACTCCTCCGCCGCCCAACGGCCTCAATCGAGACCATGGACGTCAGGGCAGCGTGCCGTTATCAGGGAGCATGGACAGCATGCAGGGAGAGCAGGGCTTTTACCAGGTAACTGTCGACGCATGAACCGAACTTAGAACTGGTTTGATCCGCAGCAGAGAGACACCAAGACAGGACTTGTTCCAAATTCAGCTGAATCTTTAAAAATATACCAAAATCAACACAGTTTGACTCTCAAAGAGCTGTGATCTGAAAACCTGACATGACAGTTTTCTTTTCATGTCTTTGCTTTGTTTCTTTCAGACACTTGTCCATGCTTTGTAGATACACCGTACACTTCCTGTCTGCCTTACTTTTTATATTGTGCAGATTTTAGATATCTGTGTTTATATCTACAGCTGACTACAGCTCCATCATTTCTTAACATAATATGATCTTCGTTTAAAACTGTGACATGCAAGGAAAAAGGTGATGAGCATCCGTATAAGAAAATAAAAGATGTTTTATTTTCTTCCTCRTTTTTTTTTACTCTTGATTTGTTTAATTCAGTCGAGCAAATCATCATATGAAAATATTTTCTCACAGTGTYGTTCTGGCAAAACAGAATGGAAACAAAAACGAGACAGGATGAAAAAATAACTACGATACAGATTAAAGTTTGCAGATTGGTTGTTATAAAACTAAAGTTGTGCTTTTATTTTGTAACTTTGTGTTTTCTCCAGATTTCAGTTGTTGTTGTTTTTTTGTTATAAATTTGTGTTGTCAGAGTCTGATGATCCTGTTTTGTGTCTTGCAGGTGCCCCCCCAGGCTCGACGTGCTGCCCCAATCACCCCCCCTCCCCCTGAAAAGCAGAGGAGCCTCCGTCGTCCAGGTTGGTATGACTTTAAATCCCCCCCCACTCGTGGCCCTCAGACGGTGCTGTGTTTCTGCTTCCTGCTGCAGTTCTTTTGCTTCACAAACACTCTATTCTTAGTCAGGTCACCCCCTGCCCCCCCAACACACACACTCACTTTCAGCTCTCTGTAACCAGACCTCCCCACTTCTCTGCAGAGCCTGAGGTCCCTTCCAGAGTGTCCTCCCTGCCTGCGTCCCCCGCTCCCTCCTTGACGATCAGCACCACCTCCTCAGAGTCCYGCTCCTCCTCCTCCGACGTCAGTCTGCCAAGTGTGTCCAGCACCCCCCCTCCGCCGATCCCGTCGCGCGTCAAGCCCCCCGCCCCGCCTGCGGARGCGCCACCGCCTGACTGTCCAGCTCCTGGGAAGAAAAGCCCTGCGCCTCCGCCGCCGCAGCCCACCAGCCCCCCTAGCACCACCACCCCTGTCCAGCTCACAGAGGAGACCCCTGCAGACACGGAGTGGCCCGTGGCCCCACTGTCCATTACAGAAGACCCCTCCTCGTCGGAGCCGGTCCCCARGACCGTCGGCGCCGAGCTGATCGAGCTGGTCCGGAGGAACACGGGTCTGAGCTACAAGCTGTCCCGGGTGGCTGTGGGRGTGGTGGTGGGCCACCTGCAGACCGTTTTACCCCGGGCCTCCTCGGACCTGGAGAGGGTTCTCCTGTCACTGGTGGAGAGCAAGGTCAGACCCCCCCATCTCAACCTGCATGCATCAGATGTTCCCCCATCATTCTGAGATTATTTTATTCAACTTTACAGCAGGTTTGATGTGAAGAGGGGAGCTGAACACAGAAACCTCCGATCATTTATTTATAGAGACGCACTCATAAACACCCACCACACTCAGTTATTCTGAAGGTCTGAAACTACAGACAAACTTCTTCTTCTGTAGGGCCAAGCTGAACTTGTGCTCGTTCTTTGCCCGAGGAAAGTGGCTTTCAGTAAAAACAACAACAACAAAAAAGGCTAAGAATTTCTTGAAGGAACTCAAATCATCGACATCTTTTCTTTTTTTTTCTTTTTCTTTTTTTAGCCACTTCAGTAGAAAGCAGAACATATATCATATATCCAGTGGTTACATTCTGCAGGTCTTGTTCAAATTAATTTTGTGGGTGGTGAAATATTTTGCTAACAGTAATTAATATTGCCCACCTTTTACAATGGATCTGTGCAGTGTTTGGAGATCATGTTCAATGTTTTTTTCTTGTTTGTGACTGTGTTTTGTTTTGTTTTGTTTTGTTTTTTTGCAGGACCTGAGCGCAGCTCTGCCGCGGGGTCAGGTGTGTCACGATGAGCAGCGTCTGGAGGTGATCTTCGATGACCTCGCCCGTCACCGCGACGACTCCCAGCAGCGCAGCTGGGCACTCCACGAGGACCACGCTCTCATCGCCTGCTACCTGGAGGAGCTCCTGAAGATTCTGGTAATCATATTATTTGTTTTTTTTAAGTACTATTTCTTGAAGGAATGCATATCGCCCACCGCCTTTTGTGACAAAATTATAAACAAAAATTTAGAATCTTGATCACTGGCCACCATAAAAAGCAAATGAGAATGAATGTCTGTCTGTTAGCAAAATACCTTATGAACCAGTGGGCCGTTTTTGATGAAACTCTCAGAGGTTAAACTCTTGATGTTCTGTTACAGCTGATTAACTTTTGGAGTCAGCCTCATTCAAGTTGGCCGCCACAGCTAAGTGATCATAGCAAACACAAAAATGGCTATAAAATAGTTAATTTTTCAGATATTAAACTAAAATTTGGTATAGTTGTGGTTTAGCATGGTTGCTAACACTTGCTCTGTTGAGGCGTTATGTTACATGACGTTTGTAGTTTTACCATCGTAATAAAAACCTTTATTTCTCCAGGGTGAGTCTGTGATGTAAACAGAGGCTTCTGTCAGATGTTGGGCTGTAAACAGCAGACATGTCTGATGGGATCAGAGCGGCTCAGACTGTGCAGCTGCACATCCAGCAGACTGATTAAAACCTTCAGGCTGATTAAAACTCAGACCACGTGTTCGGATGAGCACCAGCCTGGTTTCTGGTTGTTTACTTTATTCCTCCTGTTTGTTGTTTTTCAGACCGATGCAGATKCAGAGGTGTGTAAGAGGATGTGCAAGCTCAACCACTGTGAGAACGTTCACTCTTTGGTTTCATATTATCAGATGGTGAGATGTTTGTTTCAGACACAGTCGACGTCGTTCACCTGCCACTTTGTTTGCGTGATCAAAGCTTCTMATTTGGTGCAGGAGCATCGTGTGTCTCTGCGGCTGCTGCTGCTCAAAGTGTTCGGGGCCATGTGCAGCCTGGACGCCGCGCTCATCTCCACCCTCCTGAACTCCATCCTGCCCATGGAGCTGGCCCGGGACCTTCAGATGGACACACAGGGTCAGAATGTGTCATTGTCACGTTCTCCTCCACAATTTAAGCAAAGATTTTCACTCAAGTCATCAGAGCACAGCGTTGCACTTCCTCTTGCTGTTTAATATTTACGGTTTGTGCCAAAGATGTTGGTGATTTTAAAGGCAGCAGCAGCTTCTGAAGGATTAAACAGCATCAAAGTTCAGTGTTAGTTTCCAGTCTTTGCACAGTTTTTGGTAGAACTGTCATTTTTTAGGGTGGTTGATTGTTTGATCWTTTGTTCTGTTTAATGTTTTTGTTTTTGTGTGTTTTTTCCCAGCAGAACACCAGAAGATTTGTTACACAGCTTTAGTCCTGACTATGATTTTCTCAATGGGCGAGCAGGTGCCGTATCATCACTACGGTACGATGAAGCTTTTACAGTTTATAAACCTGCTGCTGCGTTGAGGCACGTTTTAATGACGTGACGATGAGTAGGGAGCCGATCCAGAGGGGACGTTTATTAAACTCTGAGTTTATCCATAAACTCGGAGTTAACTGACCCTGAGCCGGGAAATGGTTTCAGAAAACCTGAAAACAACAAAGTTAATGAACTCTGAGTATATTAACCTTGATTTAAAAGCAAGTGTGCAGTAAAATAGCCATCATAAGTGGAGCTCTGCAAAAAATCAGCCATCTAAAAACAAGTTTCAAAATACTAGATTATAACCTGAACCTTCTCAAATTAAGAGAAATAATCTGTAAGACAATTACGCTTGTTAAGATTTCTTGAATAGATTAATAATGTAATTCTGCATTTATAATCAGTCTAAAAAAAGATCAAAAATACTTTTTTGTCTGGGTATAAGATCGTAAGACTTGGTTAGATGGATGTTTTTTGCAGTGTATTCACCATGGCCACTGCAGGAAAACTAGATTTAGTCTGATTCCTCAATGCTAAGTACATTAAAGTGTCTGTGACGTCAAATGTTTGTAAGAAATATGGATATATTTTTGAAAAGATAACACTGATAACATATTGTAAAACAGATTTCCTGCTGCTAAGATGAACAGTTGTTGGGATATTTGCATGTGAAGTAACAGGAAGTGATGTCGAAGGGGAATGTCTGCATGTGAACAGAGCAGTGCTACAAAGGCCGACAACACAGACTGTAGAGAAGAATCTGATGTTTCTTTAGATTATTTTAATCACGAGAGAGTTGAGAGAGTCATGTAMTTCAAATAATAGTGTTTAAATAAAAACGAGGGAGTTTTCTTTCTCAAAGAGTTCCCCTTTGATGTCACTTCCTGTTTCACTTTAGCCGAGCCAAATTCAAAAGAAAATGTGCCAGTTGTGTAACACAACATGTAAAATTATGTGTATAAGTTTCTTAAATATAAATACATTTTCTTTGACTTTTTGTATTTAATGGACAGGCATGTCACAGGTACTAAAGGATATAGAGCAGTTTGAACGAGGCAAACGTGATGATGATGTCACTGCTCAGATTAACTCTTTTTTTTTTCCAATAATCCCATCAACCAACAGGTTTAGTTTAACTAAACTCATAGTTTCACTTTCCTCTCTTTCTTGAAGGGGAAACGCTTTAACTCCGGGTCAGTTYTCCTGCTTTCTAGAACACCTGCAGAAAGTTGACACGTGTGATTTTAAAAAATAATAATAAAAATGAACTGTGATGTTGCAGAAAGTAAGCCTGAAGATGCATTTCCAACTCCTTTCAGAACACCTGAATGCCGACTTCGTTGGGTTTCTGCTGAGCGTGTTGGAGGACGGGCTTCCCTCTGATCCCACCGAGCAGCTGCCGGACATTTTCCTGAACCTCCTGCTGGCCTTTAACCTGCACCTCACAGGTGAGAGAGAGCGCAGCGTTGTCTGCAGGAAGCACAGCAGAGCCTGCACGCTGTGACACATTTTTACTGCTCCTCTGCTGGTTTGGGTTTTTAAACACTTGTTTGTTCTACTTGTCCGTCTCGAGCAGCGCCCGGCAACAACGTGATAATGCAGCAGCTGAAGCAGAAAAACGTCAAGGTCCTGACAGAGAAAGTGCTGCTGCTCCTAAATAGAGGCGGTAAAAACTATGTTTAGTGTTTCCTGTTTGTTCTTTTTTGTTTTCATGTTCTCGTTTTGGCTTTTATGAAATCTGTCTTTGTGTTGTTGTCCCCACAGAGGATCCAGTCTGCATGTTCAAACACACGCCACCTGCACCGCACTCCGTGCTGAAGTTTCTGCAGGATGTCTTTGCCAGTCGAGACACGGCGGACATCTTCTACAGCACCGACATGATGGTGATGATCGACATCGCCGTTCGACAAATATCAGACCTTTCACCTGGAGATAAGGTGAGGATTTGGGCTTTTTTTTAAAGGGATCCATGATTAGTTGTAACATTAGACTTTATTTAATAAACATAAATTTTAATTGTAAAATAAAAACTGTAAAAATACTGTAGGCTGTTTAGTTATTATCATTTTTAAACTAAAAGTTTAAAAATATATTACACGGACGGAAACATTTTATTTACACACAAAGCATTCTGAGTAAATGATGACGTGGATAGGTCATCGGCACGAGGCTGCTAGCGAGTGTTAATCTAGCGTTAATCTTGGACAATATCTGATGATCGACTCTTTTAAATGAAACCAGAGAGCATTGACAGAGAGGAGAAGGTAGAAATGACTCAACCTGTAACTGAAAATATGGATGGAGGACCTCAGTTAGCTTGTTTGTTACGCTAGCACCGAGCTAATACAAATAACGCAATAAAGTGTCAGTGCTAGCGCAAAGACTAACAGACTAAGCTGAGGATCTTCTTCCATGAAGCAGCTCTGTTGTCCTCCATCCATATTTTCAGTTACAGGCTGAGTCATTTCTACCTTCTCCTCTCTGTCAACGCTCTCTGGTTTCATTTAAAAGAGTCGATCATCAGATATTGTCCAAGATTACACACACACACACACACAC